AAAAAAAGATTTACATAGAAACCCTTGGAAAGTACAAGAATAAGACCAGGTGTTCCAAAAGGGTAAGCGTCTTCTGCTTTATCGACGACACACCATGTAAATCTAGGTCAAGTCTATTAACGTCACGTCCTTATAAAAAGAAGTGGGGCAGTAACATAATAAAGAACAGCACTTCGCAGACGTGAATATCCCTTAAATAGAATATGTTGTCAACGTTACTCAATTGAATTAACAGAGAAATGATAACACTTTTATATGTAAGATAGAAGTGTTTGATATTGGGTTATTATAGTATTTAGTGTTACAGATGATTGATAATTATAGCAATAAAAATAATGATAGTAGGCAGGCTTTTAGGAAGAACTGTGCCCTCGTTGTAGGGCCTGGTAACATTATTGTTCTTATCAGGAAGGCTATCTAGTTATTTCCCCTGCATATATCAATCTTACTAAAGGGCCCAGTGCATACGGTATAAACTGCTCCTATCTAGCATACCAAATGTACATTAGTACACTCGTACTGAATAGAACTGAAGACATTCCTGTCAAACAACCTTTGATCCTCTATCACGGGACGCTCCACTAGTCTTGTGATAAGATGTATTTGTTTCAAGATAGTTACATAAATACTACAAAAAGAAAATCAAAATAAAATCACTTTAATTGGCACACAGCCCAAACCAGAGACGTATATTATGTTGTGTACGTCTCTGCTAAAACTAAGAATTCATCTTAAGTTTAGGCCATCTGAAGCAGAAAGAAATGGCATCAGGTCAAAGGTCACGTGAATGCGATGACAAAGACACACCAATCAAACGTTTTAGCGTCAAAATAGAATAAAATATACACATTACTTACATTTTACGAAAGGTAATAGTTTCCTTTGTCATTTTGTTCTGTATTTAAGTTATCACCTTAAAAAAAACCAGGAGTTGGTGATGTGTTACAGTGTAAGTAAAGACATAAAATTATTGTGTCAATAATTCCTTTTTTTGCAAAAATGAATTAAAAATGATTGTACAGATAAAAAAAAAAAAAAAAAAAAAAAAAAAAAGTATCATGACTCTAGTGCAAATGGTTCTTAGGATATTGTTGTTTGAAATATTTAACATATTTAAACTCTGTGACCTTGAAAGTAGGTCAAGGTCATTTTAATTTTTAGCACTACATCCAAGGTACCTACTGGCCAAATATCATGACCATGAGCCTTATGGAACTTGAGAAGAAGATTGTTAAAGCTTTTAACCAAAGTTGACATTTGACCCCTGACTAGCATTTAAAATTGACCTTTGACCTCATTACTGTAATTGAGAAAAATATTTGCACTGCTGGTCTACATAACATACCCAAGTATCATGACTCTAGTTCAAATGGTTCTTAGGATATTGTTGTTTAAAAAATTTAACATATTTGACCGTTGTGACCTTGAAAGTAGCCATTTTAATGAGTAGCTGTGAATTTTGCCTGGCTAATAAATTAACCATAGATACCAGTAGGTGATACAATATCTAGGGTCGGCAGTAAAATCTAGGGTAGGTCGGGATACCTGAAACACACATATTTGTTTTGGCCTTAATAAAACAGTTTGAGGAAAATTTCAACAGGAAATTTTTGTATACCTTAACTGTAAATCCAAATAAGGTTTCTTTGAGCCTGACTCTGCAATTGAACATATCACTCTGCTTTTCTCCACCCTCTGCATCTAAACAGGGGATACGCTTTCCCCGTGACGTCATCATGTATCCTTCACATGTATCGTAAACCTCCAGCAACCTTGACTGACTTATGATGTCTACTCCAAGGACACTGGCCCGATACTGTGGCTTACTGGTGATGGACCACGAACGAAGGGTGATTTGAAAAGTCCACCATCTTATGATGGTGGCCCAAAGAAATATAGAATAAATACATGAATAAAAGGGAAAAAGAATAAGAAAGAAAAAAATGACATGATGATGCTATGGCTCAATCGAAAGCAGCTAGTATATTAACTCATTCACTCCTGAAGACACATTTGAACTCTTCCAAATCAAAGGTTGGAATAGTTCATTATGAAACTTCAGGGGTAAATGAGTTAATGAATAGATTACAGACAACTATTTATAACATTAGTGTTGGCTTTCACTGCCTTCCCTAGCACATGGCAATCAATATTCATGTTATTGATGTGGAATACAAATAAAGACCTTCTAAGTGGTAAACTGTGATAAGAGGGTGGCACAGAGGAGATGTGTAAAGATGGAAGGTCTGGAGGAAACCCTGCACAATGCCCAAAATTTGTTTTATAAACAATAAAAAGATGGACACGATAAACAGTTTAACTGTTTATTACTCATGCTAGCAAAACATAGATAACATACTTTTATAAGTACATGTATACATTATTCACAATTGGCATACCAGGGTCTTAACTCATTCTACTTAGCTTAATTAATATAACCTTCATACAACTAAACTTAAAATTTAAAAGCAAGGCTCAAAGGAGACACCTAGAGAAGAGGCTTGACTCTGCCGAACTCAAGAGAAGCGACTAGACTCTCAAGTATTTATGGAAAAGATGAGAAATAGAATACTCTAACCTAGAGAATAAGCTCGCCTCTACTGAACTGCAGAGAAGCGACTTGACTGTAAGACTTGAAATCGAATAGACCTACAGAAGAAGCTTGACTCTACTGAACTGCAGAGAAGCGACTTGACTGTAAGACTTGAAATCGAATAGACCTACAGAAGAAGCTCGCCTCTACTGAACTGCAGAGAAGCGACTAGACTGTAAGACTTGACATCGAATAGACCTACAGAAAAAAGCTCGCCTCTAGATCTACTGAACTGCAGAGAAGCGACTTGACTGTAAGACTTGAAATCGAATAGACCTACAGAAGAAGCTTGCCTCTACTGAACTGCAGAGAAGCGACTTGACTGTAAGACTTGAAATCGAATAGACCTACAGAAGAAGCTTGACTCTACTGAACTGCAGAGAAGCGACTTGACTGTAAGACTTGACATCGAATAGACCTACAGAAGAAGCTCGACTCTACTGAGTTGCAGAGAAGGGACTTGACTCTATTAGTGTTCCTGGAGATAAAATATAGGGAGAAATTCGGAGCTTCTGAAATTGTAAATAAATAATGTTTCTGTTAGTAAACTATTGGAGGTAAAAGCCAGTGTTGAAGAATAAATTACAAAGAGTGAGTAGCCCACCTAACAATATCTGGAATCAATATACAAGAAAGAAAACCCCACCACAATGTGAAACAAGCATTCTGTGGGTATTGATGAATCAATACATGTCCCCTACCGGCCCCTCAAACTTTAACCTTCAGATAGTTCAGTCCAAATCATGTCAAAATTTAAATACAAGAATTATTTATTCACTTTCAATAAACAACATTAATGCTAGACCCCTAAAGAACCTCTGTCCATAAAGTCAGCATCCTATTAATAGTATTACGTGAACTTTGAGCCATTACAAAAACTTAACCCAAACTTTAACCAGCAGATGTTGGCCAAGATAGTTAAGTCCAAAACATGTCAAAAATTCATTTTATTTTTTTATTTTCCATTTTCAATCCACAGCATTAATGCTAGACCCCTTAAAAACCTATGTACATAAAATCAGCATCCTAACACTATTATTAAAGGAACGGTGGGCCGTTACAAAACTTTAACCCAAACTTTAAGCTTCAGATTTTGGTCAGGATAGTTAAGTCCAAAATATGTCAAAAATTCCCCCCAAAAATAAAATTATTTTCCATTTTCAATCCACAGCATTAATGCTAGACCCCTAAAAACCTCTTTGCTAAGAATCAGCATCCTAACATCTTATTAAGCGATTGGTAAGCCATTTCAACACTTTTTCACCGGTAGGGGAGTAACAACAATGTAAATCATAGGTGAAGCTGGGGACGGTGAGCGGGTGTTTTTTCAAAAAACAAACGATGATCATTCACCAAAATCAATGAATGAATAGGGTGCTGTCTATACTAATACTCCTCTAGAGGATAATGATGATTGGTCAAAAACTACATCACTCATTAGCATATAAACTTAGTGATACCAGACACAAAATTTGCATAAATATTTCAACAACTTGCAAAGAGATGCCTATATATATATATATAGCTACGATATCAAGATGGACAAAACACAGGTAAGAGACCTGCCGGAGCACATACTCTTGTTTAGCAAAACATAGAAAAGATACATTATGTAAATGTATACAATATTAACATTTAAGCACATTTCCAAAACACAACAAATTCATGCTTAAAAGAAACAATCACACATTACAAGCCATGCATGTAGAAGTTCACATAGTTATATACAAACTGTAATTGACCATGTCAAGTTATGTATTAATTCATGCTGATTTTTAGTGATAATTTAATGAATGATTTTTGTCGCTTTTTTTAGCAATGTACAATAGGTTCATCTTCAAATAAGCCCTGACAGCAAACACAATCTTCTATTCAAAATAGGTGTTGAGCTTAGAAGAGGATACACAATTTCTCGTTCCAAATATTGTTCATTCCTATATTTTCTCTTTATTTTGAATCTAGTATTTCTGTCTTCAAAGCCACTGATACATGTAATGCCACAATTGAATATTTAAGTTTTGGAAGAATTTATAAATTATAATTCTTGCAAACTGCAAGGTATTAACAATTAATTAACAAATACACCCCCTTTGCATAGGTGGTCTAACGTGGAACTTACTTTATAAGGAAATTTTAAACTCACGTTAGACCGTTGGAAGGTATTGCTGGAGCTATAGCTATGATAAACTGGAGCCTGCATGATACCTGCTTATGACTTTGTGTATAAGACACTAGTTATTGCTGTTTCAAAGATATATAATCATTTTTCACATGCACTGAGCAGAGAAAAACACACACCTGCATGTCGTATTTACTGTTCGTAATAAGATTCCTACAGGTCCCTTTACATTTAAGAAAACAAAGTGAGACGACTCCTATTTTAACTCAGTCTGTATGGTTCCATTTTGTGTTCGTTGTTTTTCGTCTACCTGAAAAGTGGAAAGATCAATAAATAGAATAAGTTTGGAGATACCCTTACGGAATTATACTAGAAGAATATTTGGTGTATCAAATATAAGCCAGGTATATTTGGATCATATAAGTCAAGTATACCTATAGTAAATAGGTATATCAATGAATTTTTGTAGACTCACTACAACACTTTCTTTAATTACTTGTCAGGATTTTTTTTATCAATTACTGGAGAGAGCTTTATATTAGATATGTTCCATTGTTTAATTAGATAAAAAATCTCCTTGTAAAACACATTAACAATTACACATTTTGGGATATCATTTAAGTTCCCTTTGTAGTACCGTTGCAGTATTACAATTTCCGCATATTCTAATGTTTATTATTGACAGAACAGTGTGTTCTCTCAATATTAAAGTATTACAAAGCAATCCAGCCATTAATTCAGGTTTTTTTTTATCAATGAGTCAAATCTGTCCATTTTTCTGTACTTCAGGAAACCGGCTACCTATTTCACTACTGTGAAATTTTTCAAGAAAGATAACTCTTACAAGCAATTACTATGTGTTTATGGTTTTATTATTAAATATCAACTTCTGATCGTTTATAGGTAATTAATTTTACACAATTTCAGCATTTATTAAATTGATATACAATAATGCAATACTAATCTATATCAGTATCATTTTTATTGACATTATTTTGCAAACAACTGTGTCTTTATTTATTTTTTCAAAATTCACTCCTTAAACTCCTTCAATCCTTAAAATTCTGTCAACCTATATTTTTTGTGGCAGAAAATTTTCTTTACTTCAAAGAAATATAACTACAAAATTTGAAGGAATTCTACCGAGAAATGGTGAAACAATCCCATTACCTTAAGAAATCAGTCAATCTTTTTTTCACCATCCCAGCATCTCTATCAGTGGAGTAAATCACAATACAAGGTTTGTTCATCTGAACTTTCATTTGTACCATTACATTGCATGAATCTTTGATGGACCGCTCCTCGATGGCCCAACGGTATGATGACAGGAGAGAAGAGGATTCTTTCTTCACATCAACAATGGTCTCTAGAACCGAATCTCTCAGAATGTGTGCCGCACGAACTGCAGCATCATCCGTCATAGCATACACTACAAAACGATTGTCCTGCATTTCCCAAACAGACATGATTTTGTCCTCTTTCATCTTTCGTGCAACATACTGTTTCACCGCCTTGTCTTGGAGGTAAGCATACCTGCCCTTGTTGAAATCACCTACATCACTGGCCACCATAGCATTGACCTTTTCATACATTTCCAACTTTGCACTGGTCACCTCTCCATACATCCCTTCATATGTTACTGTTCTGGCCTTAAAATCTAACGTGACTTTCATCCCGGGATATTTCTTCTCCATTGTATCTGTGAAATGTGTAAGGCTCAACATGACAACTTGGTGATGTTTCATTGGTGAAGTTGTTTCTTTAACTTGTTTCTTCTTTCTATGTAACTCATCAGCAATTTTTCCAATGATTTTTTCCAAACTTTGAGAAACTTCTGTTGCAAACTTCTTGTGCCCCATGACGAAAATTTCAAAACTGACTTTTTCCACGGCTGCTGTAACACCATCAGGGTGAAATATGTCCATATCCTGAAGCTGTGCTATTACACCATCCCAAGCGTCCTGTAGAATCTGATGTTTGAAGACAAGTAGGACATCCAGAAACATGTCCAGACTTTTCCGTGCTGTCTGGGTCCATGCTTTGGCCAAATTCCGACAATCTTTTACATCTTTGGTCAACAGACATACAAGTTTAACTGGATCGGCAAGCTTCTCTGGCCAAATAATTTTTGTATGTTGTGCAGTTAACTGTTTTTCTATACCATCTTTGTTTGGTTGAGAATACTGAACAAATTGGATCTTCCTTGGATCTAGATCAGTGATAACCAAGACATCTGGAACCTTAAATTTTGGTCCATCTTCTCCAGAGTCTCCTATCAGCTCATGGTAAAGTTTCACATCAAGGGTATGGTTATCCACAGTATGGGAGCGCCCACAGACACCGTCAATCACTGTAAACACAGAAATAGCACGCTTACGTTGACTAATTAGGCATAATTGTTATTGTTCATTCATCACAACAGTTATGCCTTCAACATCTCAAAACATAATTCTTTTTTCATTTGAAATGTTAGTAGCAAGTGGCCTAAATGTTTACACGTCCCTCTCAAAAGCACTACTGAATGGTTTTATGCGGGAATTTTAGAATGAGGAAATTTCTAAAGTACCATGTACCAAATCAACAAAAGGCACAAGAGACCTGTCCCATGTACCCGTGATTTGTTGATATTGGTGTGTACAAAAATAATTTAAAAGCTGAAAATCTATACCGATTGAAAGCCTAATTACTGATTGTTATTGGTACCTTCTTTACCTGGAAACATATTTTCCAAACAAAATGTTCAGAATATACAGAGATTTCTGTATTAATGAAATAGAATATCGTACTGAAATCCAATAGGATTCTTGCATATATTGCATCGGTAATGGAAATTTTCTTTATTTAAGTTCAATTTAAAGGGGCTGGTCGGGGGAAAAAGGTCATATTTGCTAAAATGGCATACACATGTTTAAAATACTCTCTTATGAAATATACCGATACAAATTTTGCTGAAATTCACTCCCTAAGAGTAAAAATTATAACTATATTAAAGATATCCTAAATCGTCACCTTACAGTCTAAAACTCTCAATTGACCCGGATTAATGATGTAATTTTACCGCACGCGCGTCATCAACAAGGACATATGTAAACATCGCGGCGAAAGAAAGGCACGAGGTATCAATACCGTTATATATAACAACAACATATAGGTAGGAATACTACACTTGCATCATACATGACCCTTGAAACAATTATTTACGTATAGTATTGCTGTCTTGTTCGCTAGTTGAGTCCGACATGGCACATGGCGGCGTGTTATTGTTGTTATCTTCACTGTCTCACTTTCGAAACAACCACGTGACATATAAAACTAGATCTGCGCTAAATTTACACATGGGTTCCCCGATATTTCAGTGGTCAAAACTGGACATTGCAAACATAACTCGACCATCATATTGCCGTGATATAACTTTTGGAAGGCCTGAGAACGCATTTAGACCCATTTATTTTGTAATTTTTTCCCCGACCAGCCCCTTTAATGTATAACTGGCCGGTCTAAATCAAACCTGTGTGATCTTCAAAGTAGACAAGGTAGGATCCATCTTCCTGGTCCTTAACCTCCGTCACGTCACCCCCTCCACTCCTACGGGTGTTTTCAAAGTAAAACTCAAGTGTACTCAGGCTTGTTTTATCTCCAGCCCCTTTTACAAGGATACAATTAGATATCGGCACTCGGGACACCTTCAGGAAATGCTTATCCAATGCTTTCTTCTTACACGCAAGTTCCAGTTTTTCAAAATCTGTAGGGGAAACAAGATACAATATTAATGTGTCACTATTTCTACCATCACTAATGCTACCACCACAAATTCTACCATCACTAATCCCACCACCACTCATCCTATCACCACTAATCCTTTTACCACTTATCACTGATTCCATGAAAACGAATCCACCACCACATACACTATCACCACCAATCATAGTAGCAACTATTATATATTTAAACTGTTAGTACATTGATTGCCAAGATTCTACACACCTGGTGGTTCCTCAAATGTCACAAGTACAGTGTCCTCCTCTTCTCCAAGTAAATAATTTGTTGGCGTCACATTAGCCTTTGCCTCCAGGAAATTTTCTAGTCCATCTTGTGTTGTGTCTGGATTCTTTCCCTTTATGAGCACCTTATCAGGATACAGGGGGCGTGGTTTTGGTGGTGGCGGTGGGATGTACTGTTTCACTTCCAATTTGACCCCCTCCAGTTTGTGTTCTCTTTCCACAACAGCTCTCACCACTGTTAATACCATAACAGAAATTCAACAAACAGGACAGTGTTCATTCTATAGATAGTATTACAAGACAAGTTCAGAAATATTCCATAAAAGTCAATGCCCAGCCATTGTGTATGGTAATAGGCGAAGGATTGCAACCTTTTTCATGCTACTATTGGCCTGAATGCAAGTGACCAAGTCCTGATTGGCAGGGTCACACTCTAAGGCCAATCCTTAAAGCACATTTGTTTGTCAAGCCTCAGGACTCAAGGAAGCAGATATAAGTTAAAAGATGGGGGTCTCAACCACCTTTTCTTTGCTCAATCCCTCAGCTCTCTGGGTTGATCTTCATTCCCCTGCATTTGTACAATTTTTAATCATTTGCACCCCATGAGAATGTTTCTAACCAAATACAATGTATGGATCATATTTATCTCTTAGTTCCAGAGAAAGTCTCTTATAGCAAAGTGGCCAAAGTGCCATCTTTGGACCTGTTGCCTAGCACCCTGTAAGGTCAATACCTCTGTTTGTATATTTTTCAAAAGATAAATGTAGTTCCTTAATGCAATAAGGCTTAATAAACCCTTTTTGGCCAAACCCCTGAGTACCCCCTCCAACACACAATTGGGTTAGCTTATTCATTTATACAAAATGAATCTTTACCACCTATGGAAGTTTTCATTCAAACATGGTGAAATTCAATTCAGCATATATGTATCTGAAGAAGATATTGTTGACACTTGGGCAGAGATACACACAAAGATGCCAATTTTAAATGGCATAAGGTCTACCAGATCAGGTGAGCTAGAAAAAACAGAAACACTGATATAAGAAGTTGAATTTGAATTACCGTCTTCAGTTTCATATGTAATGTAGATGACACCCTCCTCCCTTTCTGAATGATCGAGCTTCACAATTTCTAAAGGTTTTCCTGCCGCCTTCTTGCTTTCAAAATAAAGTTCAATTGTGTCTATGCTGGTGGTCTCCTTCACGCCCCGCACTTCTATCGTACAGGACGGTTTAGTCTTTTCTTTATCACTGGTTTCTTCCTCACTGCTGTCTTTACCCATAGCTCCAGAATTGTAGCTCTCTGGGACAAATCGCTCCACTTTGATCTGCTTTTTCTCTAACAGTAATGGTAGCTTCTGTAGGACACGTTCAACCTCTGAAACAAATCAATATATATCCTATCACAACACTGGTCCCCTATAGTTTACTGGTAATGCTCAAATCAAGAAATATGTACAGATGGTTCCTCATAAGTTTTCTTATAATAACCACAACACCTCGGGCAGGTGAGCTAAAAAGTAAGAGGAGTTCAGCTGACCGGGGAATCAGAATCAGTTTGCAATACCCAGGAAATCGTAATAAGCATATTTGTACTAAGGGTGTGCGGTGCACCGAAATTATCGGTGCTTCGCGAATCAGAACTTTCGAATCGAGTCACCGATAAGGATTTCCGGAAATCGGTTCGGTTCGGTTCCAATTCTTCATACTAAGCGTGAGTGTACGCACAATAATTTTGTACAATGTTAAGTCATTTTTGTAGCATGTTTGTATTTTAAATGATGATATTCAGAAGATTGAAAGCGACTGTCAGAATTTCCCGCGAATGACGGAAGCCCGGTAGTAAACAATGCAGGCAGCGCACCAAGCGGCGAATATAATTACTACGGGAGGTAATGAGTCCGTACTGTCCGACGATAATACCAGAGGGCGTAGCCGGACTATCGGTATCCTCGGGGCTGATTATCACTATAATACATAATTGATCATGAATGACGGAAAAAACAGCAGACTCTATTTGGATTTCAGTCGTCAGCTAAAGACGACAACTTTCGGTTCATATTATTACACAATGACTGTCTGTGCCCAGTGTTGGTAAGTTACCCTGGTGTCATCGGTTTTCGACGGTGTAACAGCAAAATCGCTTTTTACCAACCATGTGAAATAAATTTATTCCAATCCTTACCAGTTTAGTCATTTACTATTATTGCCCTAATTTTATAAGTTAACTCGAACGTGAACTGTTCAACTATATCTGTTTGAGTTGAATAAATCTCATCAACTTCAGAAATTAACATGGAAAAGTCATTTTAAACAGTTTAAAACAGTTCAAAGATTTTTCGATGTTAACATTTTGTTTTCATAGCAAGGAAAAGATACTGCTTAGCCCTCTCCCTGGTACGATCATGACAGAAGAAACCGTCACCAATTTTTTTCCCTCTTTGTTGACTTTTTACCTAAAATAAGGGAAAATATTTTTTATTTATGTCTCCGAATAATGGGAAATGCTGCTGACGAGAAGTCACAAACACTTTTAGGCTAATTTAATGGGTCTTTAGGGTGTTAAACTTGGTGTTATTTTGGAATTATGCAAAACGGGGTTTAAACACTACGTTGCGGTAAAAATAGAAGTTACTTACAGTACAGATCATCATTTTCCTTTTTTTTTTTGAGAATTGTTGCAAGCGTGCCGGCGTCAAAACATAACCTCCGTGATCACCCCTGACATGACCCAAAAGCGCGCGCGCGCGACCCGGAAATAAACGACCGTCGAAAACTGAACACGGGAGGATACATGATCTCTGTTTCAGTAATACGCGCCATTTTTAAAAACGTAATCAAAACACTGACATTTGAGTTTGAAATACGTCATCTGTAGAAATAAACTGGTGCATGCCTGCATGGCTAAGAATACATCGTTGTTATAAATGATTTTTTGGCACATTTATGATTAAGTGATCCGATTTGGGTACTGGTCCGATTTGGATACTGCCTCCTTGCACAATTTTCATTCTGTTACTGACTTATTCTTGGTGTTTTTATTCTATGACAAACTGGAAATATTATGAAATATATAAAAAAAAAAAATGTAAAAATGACATTGTTACAATTAGTTAACAATTTTGTGATGATATTACATACCCATGGGGATTTAGATAAGGTGTACCCCTAATATATGCAGCCATGCCCCCATTTTGAAAGGTATGGGGTACACAAAAAAAACAATTACAAAAGTGACAGGGAACACTGCATTTAAATACCAAACAGTGTCTACGTCTTTGATGTCAAATCTTTTAATGACTAGCAGCAATCAATATCAACACGATCTACCCCTAGCAGTGAAAACATTTTAACTTGGAAAAATCTTTAATATGTTACCATGGCTCCTTTATAAACTGTTACTTTTGTTTTGCTATACCTTAAATAAAAGTTTTATACTTGATTCTTATGTTTTTATGAGAAAGTGTGTATCAAGTGAACCGATTCGAAAAAAATCGATTCGAAGGGATCAAAATCGAAATTGAACCGATTCGAAAAAATCCTGATTCGTCCCAGCCCTAGTTCGTACTAAACGTGTTTTATTGTACTCTTGAAATAATTACTGGCATTGCTAACATCATAAGACAGACATGTACTACCAGTTTACCGGTAATTATTACATCATTATACACGTAGTGTCTACTAAATTTACATTTACATTTACTTCGCGGTATCCGAGTTTTTCGACTTTTCAGGGTTCGAATTATCAGAGTTTTATTTACTAAGATAAAGAAGAGATTTGGCCGGGACCGGAGAAATACTTCGAGATAAACGGGGTCTTCGAGTTAAAAGAGTTCGAGATAACGAGGTTCGACTGTATGTGTGAAAGGGTTAAAATAATAATCAATAATTGGTATGTAATCAGAAGTAGCAAAACGATCGATGATGGATTGCATAATCAGTTTATAATTTCATGGGACAGAATACCCAAATAAAATGAGAACACTAGTACTACTATTACATCAATTAATAGACAGAGTTGTTAACTATAATCAGGTTTCGTTCTTCAATAACGGATTAATTTCAAGCAAAATTTATTCAGTTTTATCAATCACATAGTAAAAATCATGAGAATATATGACTTTCGATGTATATTTTACATTGAAAACATTTAACACTTATATTTTAATGATGAACTGATAATATCGATAATGGAATTTGTAATCAATAATCGAAATCGGAAAGAGCAAACCATTCAACTTTTAGCTCACCGTCCCTCATCAATATTTTACTTTAAACAACTTCTTCTCAATAACCAAAAGGCCCAGGGTACTGATATTGGGCCTGTAGCATGCTGGGATGAAGGGCTACCAAGTTTGTTCGAATAAATGACCTTGACCCACTTTGAAGATCACAGGGGTCAGATGTCTTAAAATCTTCAAACCACTTCTTCTCAACAAGAGGCCCAGAGGGCCTGTATAGCTCACCTGAATATGTTTAAAATAATTGGTTTGAAGTAAAGATATAGCACTCCATGGTAGGTGCAGTAAGTACATATGAAATTTCAGAAAGATCCATCCAGTACTTGAGATATAACGAGAACAAACTTCAAACAGAGCCCCAACCCTATGCCCCTAGGGGTCATTCCCACCAATTATACAAAATTGAGTCCCCTTGACCCAAGGATGATCCAGACTAAATTAGGATAAAATACCTTAATCTCTATGGTAGAAGAAGGATTTTGAAGGTTTTACCTCTATTCACCTATTGGTCCCGACTCTCTGCCTCCAGGGGGTCAGACACACTGTTTATACAAAATTGTTTCCCCTTCACCCAAGGGTGCTTCATACTAAATTTGGACAAAACCCTATCATTCCTACATGTTAGAAGAAGGATATTGAAGAATTTGCTATGTTTCCCCTATTGGACCCCTCCCTTCTGCCCCCAGGGGGGGGGGGCACACTTAAAACAATAAAATTGAGACCCTTTTGCCTTAGGGTGCTCCAGACTAAATTAGGATAATATCCCTTTATCCCTATGGTAGAAGAAGGATTATAAAGGTTTTACCTATATTTCCCCTATTGTGCCCTGCCCCTCAGGTTATACATAATTGGTTTCCCGTTACCCAAGGATGCTCCACACCAAATATGGACCAAATCCTTTCATTCCTACAGAAGAAGGATTTTAAAGGATGATTTGCTATGTTTCCCCTATTGGGCCGCGCCCTCAGGCCCTAGGTGGGCCAGACCCACCGTTTATATAAAATTGGTTCCCCTTCACTGAAGGATGCTTCAGACCAAATACGGACCAAATCCTTTCATTCCTACAGAAGAAGGATTTTAAAGAATAATTTGCTATGTTTCCCCTATTGGGCCCCACCCCTCAGCCCCTAGGTGGGCCAGACCCACCGTTTATACAAAATTGGCTCCCCTTTACCCAAGGATTCTTCAGACCAAATATGGAACAAATCCTTTCATTTCTACAGAAGAAGAAGGATTTTAAAGAAATTGCTATATTTCCCTTATTGGGCCCTGCCCCTCAGCCCCCAAGGGTTCCCCCAACATTTATACAAAATTGGTTCCCCTTTACCCAAGGATTGTTCAGACCAAATATGAAACAAATCCTTTCATTCCTACAGAAGAAGAAGGATTTTAAAGAATTTGCTATATGTCCCTTATTGGGCCCCGCCCCTCAGCCCCCAAGGGTTCCCCCACCATTTATACAAAATTTGTTCCTCTTCCCCCAAGGGTGCTTCTGACCAAATTAGCGTTTTAAAGGACGGACGGAGGCTGCGGTATGGCATAAGCTATTGGGCCTGTAGCATGCTGGGATAAATATCAATATTATCTTTCAATTTGTTATCAGCTATATACCGTAAATTCAATTATCATACCTGCAGGGTCTTTGAATGTTATAATAGCTGTAGCAGACTCTTTCCTGAAGTCCATTTCATCGATTTCCCCTCCTCCGGTCCTTTTTCTGTTCTCAAAAAAGTCGGTCAGAGTGTCCTCTGTGGTCTTGGGCGATATCTCTGTAACCTTGATCATCCCTAGCTGTTCAGTCTTCTCTTCTTCTTCCTCTTTCTCCTGTTCATATATTGACATTGCATTATAGGATAGAGACCGAAAAAACTTGATTTACATACAGAAAACAGGTAATGCATACCTGCTGTCTCTTTAAGCAAATGAGCAAGCAACATGCTCCAGGTCAGAAAATTACAGAAAAAAATACAATTCTATTTTTGTTTGAAATTACAATAAAGTGTTGGGACTCTCTACCGGAAGAAAAGGTGGCAATTCTCAAACAATACACATGTGAAACCTGTATAAAAATTCAGAAGCAATGTACATGTTTGTTGTCTTTACCTGTAGGTCTACCTTTTCCCATGACGTTGGAATGTCACAGGGAACACAAGGACTGATCTCAAGTACGCCATTTGGTAGTGGAATTCTACCACTTTTCAGCAATGCACCAACTTCTACAAAACATGAAACACAACAGTTTTTATTTTATTTCACAGCCAAACAAAAATATTATCAAGAAACAATGTCATGATAAATTGATTGTTAAATAATTGAAGATCACTTTTTCTCTCAAAATCTATTTTGTACAACACATGTATGCATGTGTACTCATATGGAGGGCTGCTTTTATGCACCAATCCAAATTGACTTACATGTATGTTCAATATATCATTTAATATCATTGCATATAAGGATCTGATCTGCATAAGGTTATAATTATTATAAGTGATTAATTAACACTATTTAGTATAAATGACAACTTTTGGACGTAGTTGCTTGGGACCAGGGCCCGTATTCATGAAACTGTTCTCATGCTCAAGTATGTATTTTGTGCTCAAACCAAATTTCTTGTTCCCATTATGATTTGTTTTTAAATCTTATTTTGACAATGATTTAAAAGACCATTGGAGAGACTTAAAGCCGAAAACTGTTCACAGTGTTAACATATGGCTTTTTGATTGTTTGACATAATTTAAGCAAGTTAAAAGAAAGTTGGTTTGAGCACAGAATCCATGCTTGAGCATGAGAACGGTTTCATGAATACGGGCCCAGGTTTTAAGCTCAATTTGCTGTGGTCTCGAGCCTAAGTCTAGAGTTCAGAGGTACTAGTTTTGAATCCAGGTCTGGCTGTGCATTTTCCTCTCCTGTTACAATGGTACCTGTAGCCAACTCTTAATTGTTTCAAGTACTGTGTGCATAAATGCTTTGCAAGGGGCCGATACCTGAATATGGTTAGTGAGTAAGAGTGGATCGCTGGCGACCAGGTAGCTCCATCAGTTTACAGTGCATGTCTTGTAATTATTGCATGTAAAGTTCAGAGGTCCCGGGTTCGAGTCCCGGTTTGACCATGCATTTTTCTCTCCTTTACACATGTATGACTTTAATTGTACATAGGATTATGGTCACCTTCAAATGGCGTTAGAGGGAATTCCCTTTAGCTTAATTGGTAGAGCAGAGGACTGGGAAGCTTAGGTTCTCTTGGTGGAAGCACATTACTCGCTTCCCCGTTAGAAATGGTGTATTCTGGCCCTTCTTGTGGTGACAGGAAGTATGTTAAAACCAGCTGGGTTGTTGTGGCGTTTGAGGGCGAACACATTTAAAAAGAGGGGATCGAGTAGTGTGGCATATTTTAATTGTACATAGGATTGTCGCCTTTTAGCTTCATGAAAGAAGAAAGTTCCCTTTAGCTCAGTGTTAGAGTGTCTGACCAGGAAGTCTTGCATTTTTTCTCTCAAAATAACCAGTTACCAAGATCTCCCATTTTGAAAAAACTTTATTATTTGTTTAACTAGAATAATAACTTAATTACTGAACAAATCACCTGACAAAGAAATACAATTTCAGCATATAAAGGACACCATGTTACCAACGCAACAGTGTGAAATTTGCAATTTTGAGTATGAAACACTGGTAAACGATAGAAATCATTATGTTCTCCACCCTTTTTTTAACACGTTGATGTCATAACCTTCACGAAATGCTGAATATAACACACACAAAAACACATTCTGAAAATTTGATGTGGTAGTCACACTTTCTGTACCCCGACTGAATTTATATAAGTATAATTGTTTTTCCTTTTTTGAGACTAACACGAATCAGCAAATATCTACACAGTAAATGAACATATTGCTTCGTAAGGATCGTCAACGGAGCGTGTCATCTACAAGTATCAAACAAAATATGTAAAATGGCGTTTGCTGGCGACGTACGTATATACATGTACGTGTACATCTTGGTAAAGGAATTCCTACTTTCGTTTTTGATTTGTCAATAATTCAGCAATCTTCTGTTGTATAAGAAACGTTTGTACATATGAGAACATTTGTTATAAACTATCGTTTGTTTTATATTACTATCTCCTTAGTATAATGGAATAATAACAACAACCTTTTTTTTTACGATGACTCTTACCAGCTCCATCATGAAATAACATCAGCCATTTTGTTCGTTGGATTTGGGCACCCGCGGCTATACTTTCTGCTTTCAGGCAATTTGTAAACACCAGTCTCACTTGGCTTTCATTTGTGTCCGCCGGAAACCCTTCAACAGCTATACAATACGGCTGTAAATTTTCTCTGAAGTTGTCGCTAGCCATATTCTATATCGTGTATCCCTACGTGTAGCCCTACGCCTGGCCCATTCTGCTTCGACTATCTATCTATCTATCTAGATCGATCGATAGATAGATAGACTTTGATTGTCTATTTCATGTCACATGCATACCTGCAAAATGACCCGCATCCACATCCGCAAAATTAACTAATCACCCGCGGCCAACTTATCACCCGCGGCCAACTAATCACCCAACTAATCACCCGCGGCCAACTAATCACCCGCGCGGATGATACACATCTCCCGCATTCCGACAACATGTATTTCCGCGCAGCAATTTTATCAATTGTATATCTGAGTCTATCCACACTAATGAATACCAGAAGTGTGACATGAGGGAGAAAAATAGAACACTACCATTTAACTTTTTTGTGTGTGAAATAAATACATGTAACATTCTAGTTTCCATCAGTAAATCTTTCGAGATAACTTTTGCAAAGTGGTATCAATGAAACGTCTTCAAAGTGATGCTATGCATATTGTTATGGATGTGATGTGGACAAGTTCATCAGCATATTTTATGCTACAGAATTTGGTTAATTAAATGTTAATTAATATGAAAATGCACAGCTTTTGCAGTATTTACAGTTACTTTCGCGTTATTGACATCATAGCAAATTGTCTTTTCAAACGTCTACTTCCCAGTATCTTATCAACATTCTATTGTATAATCCAGTGTATTGCAGCTCATCAAAAGGAATTATCAATCTGATTAAAATCATCTGCAGGCGGAGCCATGTAAAGGATGATTTTAATCAGATTGGGTCTTAGGGTGCTTTACCAAATTGTGAATTTCATGACCCTTGGGTCTCACGTTTCCCCCTGGGGAGGGAGTAAACTTTACTATAGTTTATATATGGAAATCACATTTTAGACAAACATTTGTTTAATTTCCATTGGAAGTAATTCAATTTGGGTTAGCATTATTAGTATTGGAAAGCAGTTTGATGGTATGAACATATCAGCCCTGACTGACCCCCAGGGGCTGATGGGTTTGGCCAAAAAGGGTCAAATTGACTGAAATTTCAAAAATCTTCTACTCAAGACCGAGATATGGTAGAATCAAATACTCTTCATATAGATGGAAGGGTTTTAAGGTGCTCTACCAAAATTGTGAATTTTATGACCCTAGTGTCTCACGTTTACCCTGGGAAGGAGGTGGGCAAAATTTATTATCGTTTATATTGGCAAATGATACTTTGGATATAACATGTTGATAAGTTGATTGGAATTATAACCCTGAGTTGACAGTTTGATACTTTGAAAATGTTAAGTCAGCCCTACCCCTAAGGGCTGTAGGGCGGGGCCCAAAGGAGTCAGTGTGCTAAAATTTCTTCATTTTCCTTGTTTAGAATCAGAGGTGCTAGTTTCAAATACTTTTTAGTCTTAAATCTGTATGCTAGATATTGAATAAGATGGTTTTATTGTTTTTTTGTGACTTTGAATAATATTTCTGTTCATGTTTTAAAAACAAAAATCAACTTTTTGTATAAATATATCAGAACTCAGGTGACCGCTAAGGCCCATGGGCGTCTTGTTTATTTAAACATAGTTATTGCCCCAAATTTGAGCAGGGGAATTATATAAACTTATCAACACCGTTTCTACATGATAGCATTTAACAAGGTATACATACTATATTTTATAATTATTATATTTTACTTAAAACCTGTTGCTGGATTTGATGAAAAATTTGCACGTGTCTGAATACTTCTGTATTGGTTGGTATCTACGGACAGATTTTCATCCCCAAATAAAAATATACCTAAATTTCCTGGATATATATTCAACGAGTTTATGTTATGAAATAGCGTAATTCATGATGTATTAAAATGTTTAACGCATATAGCACAGCGGCTACACAGAATGAAAACTCCACATATTACTTGATTTAAAACAAAAGAAGATGACGTAAGAGCCAGTTTAATTGTGTGACTTTTTAGAGTCATATATTTGTAATATAATCTACTGTAGTTTTCCGATATCTGCTGATAAATCGCATGTATTCCTCCTATATGTATACACATGTATAATTAATACTCCATGTAACGTTATATATCCACATATAAACGTCTAAAAGTGAAAGTTTCACCAAATATCTTTTGCATCTGAATTTGGTGTAGTATTAGAGCATGTAGACATGGAACGCATAAACTTTCATTCAATTTGGTTTTCTCATAATTGCGAACGTAGATCACTTGCTAAGTAAAAACACCGGGCAGTATAGTTTAATTATACCCGTGTATACGTGAACAACCAATTTATGTCAATTGTCAATCAGATTGTCCCTGTCACGATTAAATATGTTAGTTTAAAATATTTGTTTCGTTGAAATATTGCTTTTGATGTCGGCTGAAATCGGGATGCGAAAAAGGAAATAGCCCTTCCCCACTTCCCCACTTCCCCACTTTTTCCCCTTTTACTTTTAAGGAGTAACATGCAAGTCTATTTGAGTGGAATAAGCAAATATTTTTCTCTCTAATGTGTATTGAAATATATGAAAAAGTGTACCGTTCTGAGGCAGTATTTACCTTCTCCATTCAACAACAATTAAGATAAGTGTTTTTTTTTACAACATCTTTATAAATAATTAATCAGATTCGTCACCTGGTGTGGCTTGAAGTAATTACCCAAAACCCAAGCTCAAACAGATATTTTGCTTCATATTCTATGCATATTTTTTTCAGAAAAGAAACAGGTTCCCAAATTTCCACTCATCGCTTGCTTCAAATTATACGTGAAATTCAAACTCGAAATAGATAAGAATTCTGTCGGGCTCGCTCTAGTTGGTAAGTATTCAATTTGAACTAGGCTTCACAACATTGGTTTTGCGTTTGTTTTAAAACACAATTTTCATAAACAGGAACTGCATTAGTTTGGATTTATGCTAAAATTGGAAGGTTTATTTTGAAAAGTGTGCCACAAGTAAACTCATCACGAGTTCTTGGATCCGCGCCTGAAGATATATTTTTGTTAAAAATGCTGGCTGCTAAACAGATGTTCGTGTTGGTATTTTAAACTATTCAATTAATGTCATATACATTTCCACCATTACTACAAAAAAAACAAAAACATTCACAGGTAACACCTCTGAGAGGTAATTAGTTCACCTGTTAACTCACAGGTAGATATCGTAAATGCCCTTTGGCTATAGTATTAACAGGGGCGGGTCCCGGGAAAGGGCGGACCCCCCCCCCCCCCCCCTTAAAAAAACCCAACAACAACAAAAACTATCGTCATCTGCTAATATTGTATTGAATATGGCAATTTATCATATTCATTAATTAAACACATAAACACCCCGACACTTTAACTATAAAATATACATGCTCCAAGTCAGGAACCGTTACATTAGTGCATTTCACAATTATTTTATTTTTTTTAGAAAAAAAAAGGTCCACAATTTCAAGATTTGATTCTACACCCCGTCTTTCAAATATCCTAGAAACGCCCCTGATTAAGTGGTAAGAACTACAGGTAATTAACACACCTTTTTATTCACAGGTAAGATATTAAGGTGTGTAACTGTGTATTACCACGGACTTAGATAATCTAATTCCGTGGTATTGCTATCTCTCAGCTAAAAGTTTTGCAGACACGGAATAAGATTTCCGTGACTCAGGCTTGAACTTTTCTTTCGGAGAATTGATGTCTTTATTTGTCGATTGATGATTTTACCCATACAACAATTACATAATTATTATATTGGTTGCTGTCATTACTTACACCGTTTTGCAGATAATATATATGTAAAGGGGTGTGTCACCTAATGGACAGGACATCGTATAAGCACGGAATTATCTAAGTCCGTGGAATAAGTCGTGCCACTGTGACGTCACAGATAATGTGACCTCGTACAGAGTTCAAAATATGCATATTTAGTAGGCTGACATATATAGATGGGGCGTTATCTAACAATATTTACATTCTGTATGCTTAGACCCATTGACAAAAATTACATTCATAAATGCATAACACAGGTGTTCATAGAATCTCAGCACGTGGGAACTGATAGTAACCTGATCACACTGCGTAGTAATACACTACAAAAACTACTCACTCGGAACGACCGACCTAGATGCTTAATTCTTACATCTTAAAATATTATTGAACTGTGCTTTGTGAAATATCCACGTATTCACGTGTCCTGTGCTACAAATAAACATTGAATATGGAACTACATTTTGTTGTGTTATTGTTGTTGACGGTTGCTAAGATCTCTCACGATAGTGTCACATTTCCCCGCGAAAAAACACTGTTCTCGCCACTGCGTTGCACCCGTGTATAAGCAGGAACAAACCCTGTTTATTTGTTTTATTCGTTGTTATATCGATCCACTGAAAGGATTCGTCAATGTAAATATAAGGAATGATATTTATTTTTTCAACATTTATGAGGTCATAACAACAATGGGTTTTTGGACATATTTTACATGAATCGCTAACGCGATTCATTCAATATGTCCATAAACCCATTGTTGTTATGACCTCATAAATGTTGAAAAAATAAAAATCATTCCTTAA